AAAATAATATTATACGTAAATTCAAAACATTTCTTTATTTTTTAACCACATATTTCTTATCAATATACTATTCAAAAATACATTTTCATTCCAATAATGTGGCTCAAATAAGGGCTATAATACGAAAATGATTCTCTCCAATCACTCTCTACTAACCGATTCTGTCTAATCTAATTAGAATCTAAAGCATAAGTAAGTTGGCTAATAAGCATCCGTAGGTTTAATTTTGGAGGTATACCGAACGGTTGTATTGATATATTTTTGAAGTAATTTGACATGATTAGTATGTTTAGTCGAGCTAAACTTGGCCAAAATAGGCTAGAGAAGTGGAAGACCTAACATAAATCATGCCAAACCAGGCACATTATCTAGCTAAAATACTTTGAATGTATGGTCGTATATGAATGCATGTTAGAAAATGTTTATTTAAATCACGGTACTTTGAATTTCAAATATCAAGTGGTAAAGAGAGAAAACTCGGCCTCCAAGGTATTGAGTTTGGAATTGTTCGACATCTAAATATTATGATTTGAATGAAACAATAATACGCGTGCATCTAAGACAATTAAATTGAAAATAGGGTCGAGCTTCCTAACATTTCAATCCGTGTAGTTTTACAGATGGGGTTCCCAAATGACAAAAAAGATAAACATGCACGTTAAAATTGCACATAAAACTCACGTTCAATATTTTAATTTGGTCCTCCTTTAATTTTGTATGCACTTACTCATCAATTTTAAATCACGTTAATTTGGGGATTAGACGGATCCAAAGTGTTGACGGCCCAACTACGATGCTTATTCCATGGTTTCTCAACGACTTAGGCCCAGTAGTGTGCCTAGTTAGTTTTGGCCCATATCACGTACAAATGCTAACGGTGCATTAGGTTTGCATTTCTGTTTTCAATTTTGAATTCATTTTCTATTTTCTGTTTTGAGGGATGATCTTAAGGTTACAGAAAAAATGTTTGATTTGTCATTCTGAAAAACTGTTTCTCAAAATAAAAATTTAGAAAACGCATTTGGTTTAAAAACTTTAGAAATAGTTTTATGATATTTTCGAGGCGAATGAGAAGGGAGAGATAGAGAGAGGGAGAGGGGTATTTGTATTTGGGTAAGTTTTGTGTGATTTTATTAATTATTCTAATTTGGAAAATTTTTAGATTATTTTCCTAGTCATTTTGAGCTTTGTGTTATAAAATTTTCCTTGTTTTTAAATTTCCATTTTTAAAAATAACATACTAAACACATTTTGAGTGTTTTCAAAAATTGAAAATGACCTCAAAATGACAAACCAAATGCATTCTAAATATTTCTCATCTAAGGTCTCTATTGTATAATAAAATATAATTTCATGGCTAGAAATAACCTTAAAAAAAATAATATTTGTTGATTAGACAAAAATAAAAAAAATTGACGATGATATGGTATAAATGGAGAGGCATATTTCAAGATTTCAAGAATAATGTCTATATAAAAGATAAAATTCCATTTAAATTAAATACGAAAACAAAATTCAACATATTAGGACTTCGACTACTCTTACATTTCAAGATGCAACCTCAGCAACTTAACTATACATATCTTACATTCTAACCATCATCTTACCATTAGCTAACATGATTAAGATCTTTCTTGCCTACATTTGATCCACTAAAGAAATTAACGAAGAAAAAACAAACCGAACTGCCAAATTAAAGCCATTGATGAAAATAAGCACTTCCATATTCACATATTCCATTTGTTCAAAATGTCCACAAGAAAGCTCCCATGGCAAACTTCCTCTTCTGGTTCACATCTCCGGTCACCGGCAGCCCATATTTAGCGAGAAGGCAATCGACCTTCCACTCCGGCATGGCCTCATATTCTGCTCGGGTGTACTTGGGATAATGTAACGGCATTTGAAAACCACACCGCTTCCTTGCGTGGTGGCTGTTGGTTGGGCCGCCACTGCCTCCACCACCACCAACTCCTCCAACATTAGTAGTTGGCCTTGCTATGGACTCCATTCCCCCTCCACTCATTTTATTTGTTACACTCTCCTCTTTTAATTGTAACTACTAGTATTTGTTAAGAAATGTTATGACCCTTCATGCTATTTATATTCCTTTCACCCGGCCCACCCCACCCCGCCCTCATATATATAGAGAGAGAAGTAGCATTGTCGAGGTAGGTTAGAATTTATGCCAAAAACCAACAAAGTTTTTCGATATGATTTGTAATGGTGAAAATATTTATGTGAGAACTTCACAATGCCTCCAAAAGTTGTATGCATGCAACAAGGATACAGGCGAGCATTTAAAATCTCAAAGAATACAAACCCAATAATAATTTAACATATTAAAATAATTATTAGAGAAGAGGAAAAATGTCTAAAATGTGAATATGATATAACTCGATGATAGTAAGGCTTTTAAAGCACGAAATTAATATCGCGTTAAATCATCTCATTTAAAAGTTTAACTGATCCACACAAGAAGAATGCATTGTAAATGTAGTTTGATCTTTACTTCATGCCCAAGAAGTTCCCTGCCCCAATTTAACCAAATTTCAATGTCCGAAAATGACAATGTTGTAAGACCGGGAAACTTGAGCTCGTAACCTTCAAAAAATGTTTGTTTGTTACGTAGGACTGAATATAACTATGAACAAATATTTTTAACGTCTTTCTTGCTTATATTACCCATATACTNAAATGTTTGTTTGTTACGTAGGACTGAATATAACTATGAACAAATATTTTTAACGTCTTTCTTGCTTATATTACCCATATACTAATGCCAAAAGAATTTACTCTCGTCTTGCTTCATCAACAAATGATTCATTCCCTTTCGAACCAATAAGAAATGAAATAAAACCATCAATACATTTTTAAAGTTTATTTTCAATAAATTTGGAGTTGACTCCATTCGACCCTTTACATTTATTGAAAAATCTAATATAATTGATTAGATGCTTCAAAACACCACGGCAACACGTCATGTTAATCGATATATTTGTGACATACATATGTAACTAATGACTTTTTCGATAATAATTCACAATCTCCAAAGCAAAAAATCAACAATTCATTTGAAGTTGAAAGCTATTTTAAAGTATCAATTGGATACAAATATTCATTGCAATATCTCCTTAACCAATACACGGAATAAAAATTATTTGTTCACTACAATTAATAATTCTTATGGCAATGAACCACAAATTTTTGAAGCCCTTCAACAATACCGCAGAATATCCAGTGATGGAGAATGGTTAGTACTCGGAAAAATAATACAGATCACCATTATTGTCGGCCCTGGTTGCCTAGATCCCAAGGCATGTACTTTAGTTTTTAAGTCTTCGTGTAACATGTTTGGTTACAAAGATTGGACAATACATGACAGTACTAAATGAAGTAAAAATTTTGCTCATTGTATTGTCTAATTTTGTCTTTCATGGCGTACCAAACGTGCACTTAAAGTAATGATGCTTCAGAAAGAATAATTGGGTTAAATTGTCTATAGCTTAGTATTAAGTTCAGTTCGTCTCAAATTCTCTTGCTATCTACAAACGCAACGAACGTATTCATGTTCTTCAGTAGGATGCTAGTAGATTCATATCTTAACTAGAAGTGATTCAGCTATACCTTTCAATACAACTACCTAGTTGCAATTTCACTCTCGTCTCTTCGGCGTCCTCCTCCTCGCAGTTAAGGTAACAACTTCAATCATGGACCTCCCTTTTTGTGACAGCGGTGTACCTCTGACTAGAAACAGTCTAGCCATAGGTTCTGATGTCGATTTTTTATTATGTTCACTGCCCTATAACCATTAACAAGGTATCCTCTTTCTTCATTATCAATCGAATCACTCTTCATAGACCAAGATTCTTAGTCAATTTAATCCAAGTTCTTGTTTTATTTTGTTATTGAGTTGAATCTAGGATCGTCATTCAACTAGTCTGAGGAGGACGGGTTATTCACATTTCATTTGATGGTCAAAGGCGAATTGAAAGCTAAACAGTGGGAATTCTAAAGATTCTCCGGAAAGCCGCGTGCGATGAAAAATGCAAGCACGGCTTGGGTAGGGGTTTTCCACTCATACACTACCTTCATCGAAACTGAAAGGAGTTCAGATTTGTTTAAGGTGCATCTATGATTGAGGGCCAAATGT